CCCCAAAACCCCAAAACCCCAAAACCCCAAAACCCCAAAACCCCAATTTTATTTTTATAAATAGAATAATTTAAATTATTTCGAACTATGAGTCAAGGAGTCCAAAACAGTGGAGTCTTTTATGTATCCAATAAGACCTCTCCAGCAAGTGAGCTTATTTTTGAGGAATACTTGAAAAAGTGAATGACAAGGACAACAGCCGTACCTTTTAAGCCAGGTAAATCAAAGAAGGCTCCAAGAATGAAGCATTCACCCTTTGGAGATTACCCAAAAGAGAAGATGCCGAAAAAGGACACTGAGATTGAACCACCAGCTCCGATTGAGAATTTTGCAGCCTCAATTGCTATTAAAGGAAACAGTAAGTGTGATTGGTTTTGCTATAATTATAGCATCTTATAGACATTCTAAAGAAAGGAAGTGGACTTGGAGGAAAGACTAGTTCTAAGATGAATAAGAAGAAGCAAATTCAATCATTTGCTCCAAAGGCTGGAGCTATAAAGAAAAGAAAGATTCCAATCAGTGAGTTTAGAAAATACTATGACAGAGGTGACCTTCCCATCTTCATCGACCACATGGGCTCTGGTAACAGAATTGACTGGAAAGAAGACATCGCCACATTAGACTTACATCACTACTTGCCAGTTTTCTTCGAAGGAATCAGAGAACTCAACGATCCTTACAGGTTCTTGGCCATCCAGGGGACCTACGACATCCTCGACAAAGCCGGAGGCAAAGTGTTGTCAGTGATTCCTCAGCTGATCATCCCAATCAAGACTGCGCTGAACACCAGAGACCCCAACATCATCGCAGTGACTCTGAAGATCATCCAGAAGTTGGTCTTGTGCTCTGAGTCGATTGGAGAGGCTCTGGTTCCGTACTACAGACAGATTTTGCCGATCTTCAACTTGTTCAAGAATTACAACAGCAACACCGGAGATAAGATTGATTATGGCCAGAGAAAGAAGAACAACCTTGGAGAACTTATCCAAGACACTCTTGAGCTTCTAGAGACTTATGGAGGAGAGGATGCTTTCATCAATATCAAGTATATGATCCCCACCTATGAAAGTTGCGTCCTCACATAATTCATGGCTGGAATAAAGAGCAATCAATTTGAATAAAAACAGTGGGGTTTTGGGGTTTTGGGGTTTTGGGGTTTTGGGGTTTTGGGGTTTTGGGG